CTGTGATATGAATTTAGGCAAACAGCCTCTCAGACCCATTTCATGAAGATCATTCAAAATTCCATGTTTCCAGGTGGTATCATAAGCTTTTTCGAGATCAAAAAATATAGATACAGCATGTTGTTTATTTACGATAGCATTCTTAACAAACGTTTCTAATCTAACTAAATGGTCAATGGTACTTCTGTTTTTCCTAAACCCACACTGGATATTTGTAATAAGATTATTAGTTTCTAAGTACCATACAAGTCTGTTATTGACCATTCTTTCCATGGTCTTGCAAACGCAACTAGTAAGCGATATTGGCCTATAGTTGGAAGGATCAGTATAATCACGGCCTGGTTTTGGAATAGGAATAATGACAGCATTCCGCCACGAGGAAGGAAATTACCCGTTGTCCATATTTGATCAAAAATATTTAACAGGGTTTCTAAACAAGAATTAGGTAAATGTTTAAGTAACTGATAATGAATACCATCAGCACCCGTAGCAGTATCATGAGCTTGCCCTAAGGCAGTGTGTAGTTAATGAATGGAAAAACCTCATTATAGTCCTCACCATTATCAGACGCAAAATTGATTTTCATTTTTCAGCTTGTTGTTTAAATTTTGAAATTTTTGTGTATAATTTGATGATGAGGAATGTTGAGCTAAAGTTTCTCCTAATTTATTAGCTATGTCAGATTTATCAGTTAATATGGTGTTTCCATTTTAAGATGATGAACACCAGATTTTGATCCTTTACCTTTATCCTTTGCACCATATTCCATATTTTGGACATAGGTGTTCGTGAATTAATTTTTGAAACATAGTCTCGCCAAGACTGACGTTTAGTTTGCTTGAAGGTACGACGCGCCTTCGCATTTAGTATTTTGAATTTATTTAAGTTATGGACAGTTGGATGATGGCGGAAATATTTCTCTGCCTTCCTCCTTGCTTTTCTAGCATTTTTACAGTCTGCATTAAACCATGGCTTCCGCACATGTGGAGTTGTAGAGGACTTTGGTAAACATTCATCAGCTATTACAGTTAAAACGTCAGAAAACATCTCAATAGGATCAGCAACATCACTGAAACATTCAGGTCTTAGTTTAGATGTACATAAAGTTTGAAATAAGGACCAATCTGCCTTGGAAAAATTCCATTTTGAGTAAGATGGAGAATCAGTTGGGGAAATTTGTGATAGTATCGTTGGAAAATGATCACTTCCACAGAGATCATTATGGACTGACCAATCAAATTCATTGAGTAGATTAGAGTCTGCAACGGATAAATCTAAAGAAGAGTAGGTGCCGGTTGCAGGATGCAGATAAGTGCTTGAATCATCATTGAATATACACAAGTCATTATTCGCGATGAAATCCTCTAGTAGTTTACCTTTAGTGTTAGTAGCTGTGCCACCCCAGAGTGGATTATGGCCATTGAGATCACCCATTATAATGCATGGTTTCGGAAGCTGATCATAGAGACCCTGAAGATCAGACAGATGAAGTGTGAAAGAAGGCGGAATATACAACGAGCATATTGTAAAGGCAATATGAAGAGTGATTCTTACTGCAACAGCTTGAAGAGTAGTTGTAAGTTTTACTGGGCTGTGAATAACATTCTGCTTAACAAGGATTGAAGATCCGCCAGTGGCCCTGTCACCCAGAGGTGAGAAATAGTGATATGCATCGAACTGACGTAGATTAAATGTATCTGTCTGTTTCAGATAAGTTTCCTGCAGACAGAACGCTGATGGTGCCAGATCTTGAAGTAAAAGATGTAACTCATTAAAATTTGTCCTTAATCCTCTACAATTCCACTGTACTATATTTTTGGAAAACATTATCTTTTTGGTGGGTTGACTGGGGATCTACCCCGCACGGTTTTTGAGGGAGACAAGCTATGTGCCCTGGAATGGATAGTGTCAGACACTTCCATATCCTCCATTGATCCAAACCTATTAAACAATTTGATCTTATCATCTGACCCTTTAGGAGCTCGAGTTGGTTTCGAAGATTCTGTTCTTGTTTTGGTTTTCGATTTTACTGTTTGTTTTTCATTCTTCTTTTCACACTGAGATCGAGACTGAGAAGGAGGAGATACGTTTTGCTGCGTAGAAGGTGGTGTTGTCTGAGTGGACTGTTCAGGAAAGATAGATTTGGGATGTTCTGTATTCACCCATGTCAAGTCAGTCTGACATGAGCTTGATGAAGTGATTACAGGTGAAGTAGTTCCTTTTGAGGACGATTCAGGAGTTTTAGTGACGGAGGCGTAAGTCTCAGTGAGTTCAGAGGACAGTACACTTTTTTTGGCTTCTGCAAAACTGACGTTTCTGGAAAATTTGACTTTGTTAATTTCCATTTGCGTTTTCCAAATGGGACATTCTTTAGAAAAAAGACGAATGAGGTCCCGAACAGTTTGCACATTTTTAGAAATACTATCACAATCTTCTGTTACATGTGTATTCTCAGCACAGTGAGCACATGTAACAGACAATGTGCAAGTATTCACACCATGTCCGTATTTCTGACACTTGAAGCAGCGCAGAGGGTTTGGAATGTATACATCAACGTTTAGATTGCAATAACCTGCCTTGACTGACTTTGGAGGAAGTGGTGCAGAAAATGAAAACAGGTAAGTGTTTGTTTGAATAATCTCATTATTTTTCCGGGTTGTAAACCTTTTGACGAATGAAACTCCTTGGTCTTTCATCTCGGATACAATATCGAGCTCAGTCATGTCTGCAAATAGATGATCCCGATCTCTAACAATACCTTTGCTGGTGTTTAACGTTCTGTGAGCTGACACCAGAACCGGGACTCCACTGAATACATCAATTGATAGCAGGTTGGTTGCTTGTATCTTTCTGTTACATTCGATTAACAGCGATCCTGTTCGCAAGCGTTTGATGTTTTTAACTTCTCCTGCTATTCCAGAGACACCTTTAGAAATTGCAAAAGCGTTTAGTTTTAATGGAGTCTTGTCGAGAGTCTCGATAACCAAAAATCGTGGCCAATAATCGATAGATATGGAGGGACGTTGCTGATCATCGTTTTCAAGTGGACGTTTGTTTTTTTTGTTAGGGGTTTGATAATCCATGGCTGTTGTTATATTGTTTCGTCATCCAAGCTCCCCACCCACCACGGAGTACCATATAGACAATGCTAAAAACAAGTGGATTTCCGACTTGTAGCACCAAGGATACTTGGATGATATACTCCAGCAGAAGAATTATAAATAATTACTCCACCAGATTGGCCCATGAGCCACCGCCTTCTGGGCATAGGACTCTAGGCAAGTAATAGAATGAAAGTTCTAATTGAATTTCGAAGGGAACATCATAAAGCCAATACATTTGCCAAAACATTTAACTATATAAAATATATGTGCACCACAATATACATGCACAGGGCTTGGCATGACCAGCCGATTGGTAGAACCGGGCCCATTCTACCTCCCGTCTAGGTGAAGTCAGGGCCGAAGTGGTGTGTTGGGCAAAAGGAACACTGTTCCTGGCTCCAGTGCCCTCAACCACCAGAATCCCGTCCTCCACCGACACAGGGGCGCAACCCACGGCAAACAGGTTGGTGGACCAAATATCCCCCCGGGTCCACAACGGGGGGTTAAAGGGCGCTTAGCGTGACCCAGCACCCACCACGAGGAGGTGGCCCTTCATGGGTGCCTATAGAGATAAAGACCGAGATTCTATTCGAATATTCAAAATGTACAACAATGATACTTTTACTGGAGAGGTGCGACAAGTGTCATGCATCGTCTTACAAAAGTATCCGACACGATAACTTAAGTGCTGTCCATTGTGAGATCGATTTGCCTCGTGGTTTCTTTGATGAATTGACAAAGATGACATTTTTCACTGACAAACATTGTGATAATTTCGATAAAGATCCACTTCCAGCTCCGAGCTACCATGTGATTCCAATGTTATCTGATTCACTCATGACAATCAGAACCAAAACACACTCACGGAAACAACGTACGACATGGAATGTCAGCAAGGGTTCATAATTCAAAAGGCGACACACGTCCTTTCGATTCAATCCAACACGTACAGGAACGGTTGATCTACACATAAGTTATTGCTTAAGAAATTGCTCCGACGCAGATAATGCAAATTTCATTTCCTCTTAACATACAGGATGTAATCAACTCACATTTCATACTGGCAACACCGTACTATCAGTAACATTCCTAGTGGCAGTTTCTGGCTCGGGAAAACGGGAAGGCTGTGGCGAAGAAGAGTAGATCCCCCATTGATAGTGAGCATAACCTCAGCAAAGTCACATTCAAGCACACGGGTTACTCCTAATTACACACACTCAATAATTTTGGCTCCGGTCGATGGGAGAACATTGAACATAAACTGGTACACAAGTACAGATCCCAAATGTGCAGAGATATCCAAAGCAATCTTCCGATGACGACAACCACCAAACGATAATGATGACGTCACATGCTCAAATATGCTATGCTTGCAAGAATAAAAATCATCCACATGTACATCGTGATAGTTTGCATTATCAGTATCGCCTCGATGACGCGAAGATGTGGAATATATTCTTTGTGTGGGAGGTGCCCATGAGGATGAGTAGTGATTAGGTAGCCAGGTGACGTCGTACATTCATAAACGTTGTATTTTGTATTATTGCGCAGCTACGATGAGAAAATATGAAAATGTAATCTATTCGACCATGAAATGGGTGCGATTGTATGGTGTGTGAGAAACAGATTACTGTACTCGTGTCTGTCAGATACCATTAATCTTACAACTCGTTGCTTCAAAATGTAACTTTCGCTCGTTAAATACGTTTACAAACAACTCGTTGTAAGATAAATGGTACCTGACAGACACTCGTTTAGTAATCTCTATAGACACACCAGAAACTCCTTGACATGTGTGTCGCGTCTGTCGCTTATCACGTGACCTTCACTGCGCAAGTATCAATTACTGATAGCGTGTGCCGCATGTCGAGTGACTACTACAAGTTGACCTGGTGACGAACTGCTCCATGCACGGAAATATCGTCTGGTGAATGTAAGTTCGCTTTTATAGTATATTATTATGTTTCTAAAATGACAGTCTTACAGGTGATGGGCAGTTGGATGGGAACGGTATGCGGAAGTTTGAGCTTCATTTGTCTTTGTATCAAGTAAATATTGACCTGATCCCCGAGTGATATGGCCAATAATCAATATACCCCAACGCGCAAGCCGAGGGCTCAGGTTAATATTTTACACGTATGCCGAGGAATACGGCCAACTAAATCGTTGAAACAAGGATTTCGCATTTTATATTTTAAAATTATATCGGTGACTCTAAAGTTTAATATTTCTAACATAAATTCCGATTATTCGTTTTCAAGAAAAAACACCACCCACACACCACCCACCCCCAATCACAAATCTCCCTGCGTTGCGTTGGGGCGACTGACTTTAGCTATTAGGGGAGACATGAAATAATATCAAATACATTTGAATGACAGGACGATGGTCTATATAAATGGAAAAAACCATTCCATTGAGATTTGTAGAGACACGCTAAAACTGATAACACAAATAATGTGAAAAAGGAATAGACGAAGGGACATTGAACATTAAGACCACTTAATCGAAACATGTGTAATGTATTGCACGAACGCAACTGAAACCACGTGCTTTCTCATTCGCGCTTGAGATGAATCGGACGACGAGCTTCTTTTGGCAAGCCACTTTTTTTGCAAACCAGACTCTGGAAGTTACAGGGGCGGATACAGCTTTTTGAGAAAGGGGGATGCACACTATTGAGAAAAGGAGGGCTGCACACTTCGTTTTCACCCGAGTTTCAATGGTCATTTAACAAACTTTCAGCACAAAAGGGGTGGGGGTGGGGGTATATTTAGAAACACTGACGTCAGCTTAATATTTCAAAATGAATGGTCAGACAGCATTGTGCAGACAGTGCCCTAAAACGCAATTTCATTCCAAAATCTGGATATAATTGTTCTTGTTCTGATCAATAATCAGAATGTATTGATAACAGGAGCTGGACAAGGGGGTGATAGTAAAACCTGTTGGTGAATATATGATTTGTTTTGTTATTTTTTTTTTCTACAGGCAATAATTCTGCGACAGGATTGCAAAGAATCTTTTTGAATAGAAAAACACTGCATTAACAATGTCCACCAGGATACTCTTTTCAACGATAAGAAGATGTCACTGGTTGAACAAGGGATTTGCAGCTGTCCCAGTGAGATACTATGGATATATTCCAAACATATATCGCCAGTATGGAAAAACAGGTGACGGAAATTATGGATCAACACTCGGAAAGCAAAATGTTGGATACATCGAACCAGTGCGAGAACAGATTCTTAGTTTGGCCAAAACCATTTCCTTTCACTGACAAGGACTCGGTCTTCAACATTGCCGACTATGGTGCAGCTGATGGTTCTACTGCCATGGCCATTTTCGGTGAGTTGCTGGCAACTTTGAAAGATCATCATGGCCCCAACACCCAGTTCCAGGTTATCTATGAAGACTTGGAAATGAACGATTTCAATTCTCTCTTCAAACGTATGTCAGGAATCATCCCTGATCCACCGTCCTACCTCTTGGAAATGGACAATGTCTATGTTCTTGCTTCAGGGACAAACTTCTACAAGCAGTGTGTACCTCCAAACTCGATCCATTTCATGATGTCAATGGCATCTGTCCATTGGTTGTCGAAGACTCCTATCTTCAAGGACTCGATTTACAAAGATGCCAAGAGTAGTACTGAGGAGACGACTGCCCTTCACAAGCAACCCTAGTTGGACTGGAAGACCTTTTTACTGAGAAGAAGTAGAGAACTGAAACGGGGAGGTTTACTTGTCGTAGGTACCTGCGCTGAGTTTGAGGACAGAAACACTGGAGAAAATAAATACACTCTGTATTCCCTTGTGGGACTACTGAATGGGGTATGGAAGGAATACAGTGAATCTGGTAAAATCTCCAAAGATGAGTTCGTCAATACAAATATATCCACTTGTTGTTGCACCATGAAGGAGTTGAGAAAACCATTCGATGACAAAACGTCACCAGTTTCAAGGTCAGGATTAACCCTCTTGTCAGCTGAAGCTGTAGTGAGCCCTGATGTATTTTACAACGATTGGAGAGAGAAGAAGGACAAAGAAGGAATTGATGACAGGGAGGAGTTTGCCAGGATGTACGTGTCTGCTGACAGGAACTGGGGCAACAGTACTTTCATGAATGGTCTCTCAGACTCCCGATCACTGGAGGGGAAGGAGCAGATAGTTGATGGGCTGTACGACGACGTGAAGAAACGTATTTCAAAGATGATCCCCGAAATATTCAAGGACGATGTGAAGTTTATATATCTCGTGATCAGAAAGGAATAGTCAGACCAGAAGAAATGACATGGAGTCATCTTAACAGGCAGACATACCTTTCTGATAGCAATCAAACATCAACTAATTTGGTGTGACAATAGACTAAGGGAACTATATGAAATATACCCCTGAATATCAGTGATGACATCAGTTTTTCACTGAAAGGGTAAGCATGTCCTGCCCTACCGGTAGCATCCGCCATTCCCACAGTTGGCTTAAAAAGTAAGCATTTACAGCGGACGCAACACAGGAGTAATGGTGCCATGTGACGGAAGCTCCTAAGCAAATCAGACAGTGAAGTGTTCGATTCACCGGAGTATCCAGTTATTAATTTTTAACTGACACTTTTCTTCAGAGGTGCAGAGATTCTGCTGTGTAAGGTAAAAAACAAGTCTTGTATTCATTATATTTGAACTTTAACACACAGCTATACATGTACCAATAGTTTTGACATCTGATCACTTGGAGTACTTTTCTTCCTGCCGATGTTTACCAACGCACTCAGCAATATACCAGGTATATGGCGGCGGCCTGTAAATAATCGAGTCCGTACAAGACAATCCAGTGATCAACATTAAGATCATTAATCAATGTGTAATGACATGTCTCAACCAAGTAAATGAACCTGATCTCACGACAAGCATGGGTTGATGAAGACCAATTCTAACCCGGATCTTCACGGGTCACAGAAGAATAATATTTAACCTCATTTGGAAATGTTTTATTCAGGTAATTGTAGGTATTTTTGCATTTTGCATCTGACCAATTTTATTATTTTTGTTGTTGCTGTCGTTGTTTAACGATGTATTCCGCAATATTCCAGCCATATAGCGGCGGACTGTAAATAAATGAGTGTGGGCCAGACAATTCAGTGATCAACATTATGAGCATCAATCAACATAATTGGGATACGATGGCACGCAACCAAACAAACGAGCGTGAAAAACCCCATCCCGTTGACGCCTCTCACGACATTCATGGGCTGCTGAAGACCAATTCTAGTCCAGATCTTCACGGGTCACAGATGTATAGCCAGGAGGAGGGGGGGAGATGCATTGTCTCTTCCTGCCTTGTCAGGTGTGATGATGGAACTATACACATGGGAAAATTATCGCAGCACACGTTAAAAGACGTTAAAATATGGTAAGTGTTGGTCCCTGCCTGACGCTCGGCATTAATGGGTACAACAAGGACTGGTCGGCTCGGAGTCAGTATAATGTGTCTGAGTGGGGTATTCATGCTTCACTGCAGCTTGTTATCTCCGTGGGCTAGCACTATAAAACCAGCTTAAGTCTGGGCTAGTGTAAGCAGCCGCACATACAAATACACAAGCATGCACGTCGTCATATGAGCGAAATATTCTCCAGTACGACGTTAAAACCCAATTTCACCTCACCTCACCTCTCACAGCTCGCTAACCTTGAAATTCAGTTAATAAAGTGTTTACTCACCTGACCCATACTCTCATTGCTAAGAACGTTATCAATTGATAATCCAACCGTCTCCGGTACATCCTTTATGTCTAAAGTAAAGTGTGATGCCCCTGTTTGTTGGACTGGCCGTTGTCTGATAAGGCCCTGACCTCGCTAAAACCAAGTGTATCTGACCTAAATCTAGTACTCCTAATGTAGCCAGTAAACACTATGAGGGCATACAGTAAAACTTGAGTTGAAAACTAAACATTGGAGTCACTAATTGTTACATTGACACAGTCGTCAGGAGAGTAGTAGAATACTTAGGTTACTGTAATTCAACGCCAATCAGTCTCTGCTCAATCTGATGAATAATGAGTCTATTTTTTAGAATATGGTCACATATTGTTAGAATATAAATGAAAGAATATGTGGGTACAGGGGGACATATCGTCAAAATGGACAGCACTGAGACTAAAGCTTAGGCATGCAAGAAGTGCCTGGGATACTTCCCTGTGTATGCCCTCCTGAGAGGGTATGTACGTCCCAAAACAAGTAATTTAAAACTCTCCTCATTTTAATCGTAGAATATGTGTATGTTTAATGTATGGCCAGATCATTCTAAATTGCTAACAGTTGAAAGGATGGTGTAATCCAGATGGGGCCCATGCAGGAAACAAATGTACTGTAAGTCCCCATGGTCCTTAGTATGGTGATCTACCTTTAGTTTGTTGGCGATCTGTAGCCGGCCGGTTTTTATATTGTATTGTCGTGTATAGTTAAAATGTTTTAGATTTAGTTATTAATTTTAAATTTCTATCTGTGTCCTTCGTTGACAGTTTTGTTTTATAATTTACTTTTAATTTATATTAATCTTTAACTTCTTTAATCTTTAGCTGAATATTGCCAAAGTGACTTGAAATTTTAACTCACTCACTCACTCACGTCCCTGTGTATGCTTGAGGGAATAATGTCTGCGATGACACATTTACACGTGTCTACTGCAAGTCTAAATCAAGGATAGTTACCACCGGTGCCTCACCAATGGCGGGAAAGATCCCGTGAGACAACGAGTGGTGAAAACCACCGCACCCTGCCCGTGTAACAATTGAAGCTCCTTTTTCAGGACCATCGAACTGTCTTAGAACATAGACTTTGACAATACAATATTGAAAGTTCATTCAAATATCTACACATACTTATTTTTATATTAGTTTTAACTTTTTAATTGTGCAATTTGAAAAACAAAACACCGATGTGTCGGCTGTTCAACAGTATGCTATTTGAGAGAAATTCAGATATACCATCATTTTTGTGCTCCGTTTGTGACAAAACTGTGAAACCGTGCAGAGTTTAACTAGGACTGAATTGTCCTGGCTAAATTCACACACTCACTAACTTGATAGCATTCTACATAAAAATCTTGAATGTACAGAAGAGAAACTGTTTGGACCGAGACAGTAAAACTAATCAACTTACCCCCTTCCACTGTGCCCTCGATAGAACTGCTGCAATATATGATTTGGATTGCAGTTCCCGGGTTGTCCTTCAGGATGTCATGAAATGAACCTACGAACCTGTGAGTGAGTGAGTGAGTGAGTGAGTGAGTGAGTGAGTGAGTGAGTGAGTGAGTGAGTGAGTGAGTGAGTGAGTGAGTGAGTGAGTGAGTGAGTGAGTGAGTGAGTGAGTGAGTGAGTGAGTGTGTGGGTGAGTGTGTGGGTGAGTGGGTGAGTGAGTGAGTGAGTGAGTGAGTGAGTGAGTGAGTGAGTGAGTGGGTTGAGTGGGTGAGTGAGTTGGTGGGTGAGTGGGTGGGTGGATGTGTGCCTGTGTGCGTGCGTGCGCGAGTGTCAATGCATATGTGTGTACAATCCTGCGTGTAACTGAAAATATTACATAGGATTTGATAAATAACCCATTTTTATCAAGCAGGCTGTGCATGCAGAAGCTGCTAATGGTGAAGTGGAGGAGACTCAAAATGTGGTGAGTTATCGAGATGGTCTCCGGTCTGTAAGAAGGGCTGGGCCGCTGAATGCTAGTGCATACACAACAGATATATACAGGCGTAACTAACATTACCGATACGTTTACATGAATGTTAACATTTATTTGTGCACTCATCATTGTATGATACATAATGATTTTTACAGCTTATTCTGATAATAGAATACATGTATACTGAAAGCCATTAAAAACGCAATTGGTATTTGTTGTCCTGAAAGTTCTATTGAAGATTTTTTCATGCGATACAGAGGATGTACGGATAAAAGGCTATTATTCTGGCCCATTTCAAGTTCGAGTCCCGGAGCATTCCTCTCACATGAACTTTGATACTTAAAACATTACCTGCACACAGGCCCTGTAAAAGCACAAGGAATTGTGGAACTCAATCACTTTGAGAAAATGCCATACTTGACACAAGACGAAAGGAATCAGGTTATCGGTATGGTCAGCCAAGGTGCTTCAGATGTGATGATTGTCAGGCACTTTAATGTGCATCCATCCACTGTAGGTCGACTCAGACAACGTTTTCGGGCTACCGGAAGTGTTGCTGATCGTCCGCGACCTGGTGCACCACCTGTGATAACAGCTCGACAAAACTGCAATATCCGAGTTTCGCACTTGCGAAATCGGTTCGAAATATCTGATGATTAAGCAAGGAGGACAATTGGGACAAGTCAACGTCAGCGCCCAAAAGGTGCAAGGGCGCTTTGCTGCCTTCAACATCCGTTGTCGTCACCCGTACCGTGGTCCAATCTTATTGCATCGCCACAGACTTGCCAGACAGCGATGGGCAGCAAATGGGGCCGATCCTGGCAACAGGACATGGCCAGATGTCATTTTTTTCAGATGAATCCAGGTTTAACTTATCCTTTGCAGATGGACATCAACAGATTTATCGACGTAAAGGAGAAAGACTTGTGCCAAACTGTGTCCTTGAACATTATCGTTTTGGAGGGGGTGGTGCCATGATCAGTCCACAGACCATCAGAGGCTGCAGACTAACCAACAGCTGTTCCTGAGAAATGTGTGTCTATCAATGCCCCAAAGACTGTGAGCAGGTCTTGCAGCGCACGGTGGACACACACGATATTGACTGCAAGTGACCCCTCCTTTGTGTGATGTCGTTGTTGCGTCACTGATGTTGTTGTTGACTGGACATTTTCAGATGAAATTATTCACAGATGTTCACTTAAAACATATCTGCCAGTTAGGTTTATATATGTTGAAATTAGTGTGAGTAAAGAAAGTATGAATGTCAAATTGCATTTTTAATGGCTTTCAGTATATATGAGAGATCTCCAATATATGTGGGCTATCCAAAGTATATGAGAAATGAAATGTACGCGAGATGTCCAATATCCTTCAGACATACCACACCAGTATTACTTTGTTTACTGGCCATATGATTGTATTATTACTAAACGAGGCTCACCACTCTGACGTGTGCAATCTACGGGACAGGATACAGTAACCTTCCCGGGAACACATTGTATCATTGTATCATTAACATGTGTCAGTGTTGGTTATGGTATTGTAGGAAACGTACAATGGACTCTTTTGGTGGGGTTACTTATAAATATGCATATGAGAAACCATAGATAGAGGAACTTCAGATCAGAATGCAGTACATA